ACCCAAATCAATAGAATTAGAAATGAAAAGAAGTAACAACTGACACTGCAGAAATATAAAAGATCATGAAAGATTACCACAAGCAACTCTATGCCAATAAAATGGACAACCTGGAAGAAATGGACATTCTTAGAAATGCACAACCTTTCAAGACTGAATCAGGAAGAAATGCAAAACATGAACAGACCAATCACAAGCACTGAAATTGACACTGTGATTAAAAATCTTCCAACAAACAAAAGTCCAGGATCAGATGGCTTCACAGGCGAATTCTATCAAACATTTAGAGAAGAGCTAACACCTATCCTTCTCAAACTCTTCCAAAATACAGCAGGGGGAGGAACACTCCCAAACTCATTCTACGAAGCCACCATCACCCTGATACCAAAACCAGACAAGGATGTCACAAAGAAAACTACGGGCCAATATCACTGATGAACATACATGCAAAAATCCTCAACAAAATACTAGCAAACAGAATCCAGCAGCACATTGAGAGGATCATACACCATGATCAGTTGGGGTTTATTCCAGGAATGCAAGGATTCTTCAATATACGCAAATCAATCAATGTGATACACTATATTAACAAACTGAAGGAAGTAAACCATATGGTCATCTCAATAGATGCAGAGAAAGCTTTCGACAAAATTCAGCACCCATTTATGATAAAAGCCCTGCAGAAAGTAGGCATAGAGGGAACTTTCCTCAACATAATAAAGGCCATGTGTGACAAACCCACAGCCAGCATCATCCTCAATGGTGAAAAAATGAAAGCATTTCCACTAAGATCAGGAACAAGACAAGGTTGCCCACTCTCACCACTCTTATTCAACATAGTTTTGGAAGTTTTAGCCACAGCAATCAGAGAAGAAAAGGAAATAAAAGGAATCCAAATTGGAAAAGAAGAAATAAAGCTGTCACTGTTTGCAAGTGACGTGATACTATACATAGAGAATCCTAAAGCCGCTACCAGAAAACTACTAGAGCTAATCAATTAAGTTGGTAAAGTAGCAGGATACAAAATTAATGCACAGAAATATCTGGCATTCCTATACACTGATGATGAAAAATCTGAAAGTGAAATCAAGAAAAGACTCCCATTTACCATTGCAACAAAAAGAGTAAAATATCTAGGAATAAACCTACCTAAGGAGACAACAGACCTGTATGCAGAAAATTATAAGACACTGATGAAAGAAATTAAAGATGATACAAATAGATGGAGAGATATACCATGTTCTTGGATTGGAAGAATCAACATTGTGAAAATGACTCTACTACCCAAAGCAATCTACAGATTCAATGCAATCCCTATCAAACTACCACTGGCATTTTTCACAGAACTAGAACAAAACATTTCACAATTTGTATGGAAACACAGAAGACCCCGAATAGCGAAAGCAATCATGAGTACGAGAAACGGAGCTGGAGGAATCAGGCTCCCTGACTTCAGGCTATACTACAAAGCTACAGTAATCAAGACAGTATGGTACTGGCACAAAAACAGAAATATAGATCGATGGAACAGGATAGAAAGCCCAGAGATAAACCCACATACATATGGTCACCTTTATTTGATAACGGAGGCAGGAATATACAGTGGAGAAAGGACAGCCTCTTCCGTCAGTGGTGCTGGGAAAACTGGACAGGTACATGTAGAAGTATGAGATTAGAACACTCTCTAACACCGTACACAGAAATAAGCTCAAAATGGATTAAACACCTAAAAGTTAGGTCAGAAACTATCAAACTCTTAGAGGAAAACATAGGCAGAACACTCTTATGACATAAATCACAACAAGATCCTTTTTGACCCACCTTCTAGAGAAATGGAAATAAAAACAAAAATAAACAAATGGGACCTAATGAAACTTCAAAGTTTTTGCACAGCAAAGGAAACCATAAACAAGACCAAAAGACAACCCTCAGAATGGGAGAAAATATTTGCAAATGAAGCAACTGACAAAGGATTAATCTCCAGAATTTACAAGCAGCTCATGCAGCTCAATAACAAAAAAAACAAACAACCCAATCCAAAAATGGGCAGAAGACCTAAATAGACATTTCTCCAAAGAAGATATACAGATTGCCAATAAACACATGAAAGAATGCTCAACATCATTAATCATTAGAGAAATGCAGATCAGAACTACAATGAGATATCACCTCACTCTAGTCAGAATGGCCATCATCAAAAAATCTAGAAACAGTAAATGCTGGAGAGGGTGTGGAGAAAAGGGAACACTCTTGCACTGCTGGTGGGAATGTGAATTCGTACAGCCACTATGGAGAACAATATGGAGGTTCCTTAAAAAACTAAAAATAGAACTACCATATGACCCAGCAATCCCACTACTGGGCATATACCCTGAGAAAACTGTAATTCAAAGAGTCATGTTCCAAAATGTTCAGTGCCACTCTATTTACAATAGCCAGAAGATGGAAACAACCTAAGTGTCCATTGTCGGATGAATAGATAAAGAAGATGTGGCACATATATACAATGGAATATTACTCAGCCATAGATAGAAACGAAATTGAGTTATTTTTGTAGTGAGATGGATGGACCTAGAGTCTGTCATACAGAGTGAAATAAGTCAGAAAGAGAAAGACAAGTAATGTATGCTAACACATACATATGGAATCTAAGAAAAAATATGTCATGAAGAACCTAGGGGTAAGACAGGAATAAAGACACAGACCTACTAGAGAATGGACTTGAGGATATGGGGAGGGGGAAGGGTAAGCTGTGACAAAGTGCAAGAGTATCATGGACATATATGCACTACCAATCGTAAAATAGCTAGGTAGTGGGAAGCAGCCGCATAGCATAGGGAGATCAACTCGGTGCTCTGTGACCACCTAGAGGGGTGGGATAGGGAGGGTGGGAGGGAGGGAGACGAAAGAGGGAAGAGAGATGGGGACATATGTCTATGTATAACTGATTCAGTTTGTTATAAATCAGAAACTAACACACCATTGTAAAGCAATTATACTCCAATAAAGATGTAAAAAAAAAGAAATATTAACATTTATGACAGATTTTCTTTAGTACTTTACCATTGGGAAAACATTGTAAAAGTTGAATGTTTTAAGTTATACCTTAAACTTTTACTTTACTTTGTTTATAAGGTGAAAATACATACTAAGAAAATGATATAAAATTTTACTAAAGCAGGTTAATCTTTGTAATCTAATGCTAAACTACCTCCTGAAAAATTAAAATATTCTTGCTCCCTTTGGGTTTTTTGGAGATTTTAAGGAAATTTTGGTATTCACAATAGTTTTATGGATAAAAGACTATAAGCTTAGGAAACTTTTGAAAATTTATAAAGTCTTAAAAGTAAGTCAAGTTCAGTAGCATTGAATGTACTAGCTTAACTATCTAGCAAGCTTGCTGGGTTCATTTCTTTTTTCAACTAATATTTATTATAGATGTACTAGGCAGAAAGGATTTAGGGAAAGGTGATCACCTTATAGAACTTTTATTCTAGTGAGACATCGAATATTAATGTTTGATAAACTGGAGTCATTTTAGAATAACTTCTCTAGTTTTGCTGTTTTCAAATTTCATATTTATGTGATGTTGATGAGGTCTGAGTAGATATGGTGAATATTTTGAAATCAGTCTCATTGAATTTTGGTTTATAATGAGGTAAGTAAACAAATTGAGCATTTTAGTGGCATTTTAGTGGACAGGCTGGATGAAAACTAGTTATTGCCTACGGTTACCTCTTGATATTCCGCCTTACAGACACTACAAAACTGCTGATCTAAGTTGTTTTCCGAAAATAGTTATAGCCAAAACATCTCTGTATGTTAGTGTTTATATTATTGATACATTCAGTGTAAAGGATGGGAGAACCATGTTCAAAAAGAATAGTTTTGTTTACAGTAACAAACTTTGACCTATTAAATGTTTTCTCATACTTAGCTAGTTATTTTTTCTTCTCTTCAAGTGTTTTCCTAAATTTATCTCTTTTGAATTTCTTTTATTTATTTATTTGTTTTTTGCTAATTTGGATATCTTAACGTATGAAGATATGAGGAAGAGGATGAAGGATGAAAAGTCCCTGAGTAATACTATTTCTGATTGTAGTTTCCTATTTCAACTCATGTCTTATGTAAGACTGCCTTAGTAAAGTGGCTTTTTGGTGAAATTTTGTTTAGTTTTTAACAGTTCATACTTTTCTCTGGTAACTGCCTCAATGTCTATTATATTTTAAAGCCCCCTCCCCCTTTGTCTCATACATAGGGGAAAATAGGAAATTATATATTTTTTAAGTCTTACCTATGAATTTCCACCATGATTTTCCATAGGCTATAGTATATAGTTAACTAAATGCTTATAAACCAGTGTTGCAATCTAATTTTTTTAAATATACACTTTTAGCATATACAAAACTAACATCACCAGTGAGGGCAGATGGCTATCTAGATGTGCCTCTAGATAGGATACTTTATCTATGTAGTATTCTTACTAAGAATGTATAAGTGTAATCATTAAGAACCATCAGACTGAAAATAGCCAACGTTTATTAATAAAAAGTGGAGGATGGGGCTTGTATTTTAAAATACTAACATCATAAAAGACAAAAGCAAAGCTAGGAAGACAGTGACAACTGAATGTAATACTTGACCCTAGACTGCCTCCTGTACTGGAGGTGGGGAAGTGGTATAAAAGACATTACTGGATTAATTCACAAAAGTTGGAGTACAGAGAGTAGATTTAAGTATTATTTTAATGTTAAATTTACCAAAGTTATTAACTACAGTGGTATGTGAGAGAATGTCCCTATTAGGAAATATATATTGAAATATTACAGAGTAAAGGGCCAAAATATATGTGACTATTCCTTCAAGTCAAAGGGAGTGGAGATATATATGTATGTATGTGTGTATATGGTTGGGGAGAATGAAATTTTTTTAATGTAAATAGAAATATATCTATGTTTCTATATTTAGTATTCTCTATTTACTTCTGTTTTATTTTTCAGGAAAGCAAAATAGATGAGCACCATTTTGTTGCAGTAGCTCTTAGGAAACCCAATGGATCTAGACATCAGGATGTAAGATTTTAAGATTTCTCTGATTTTTTTCTAAAAAGCATGTATTAAAGTTGAATTTGTTATTTATTGATGGAAATAATCATTTGGTTTATATCAGGTTACAGGTTTTGGCTTTTTTTTTTTTTTAATTATAGACTTTAGAAGTGTTCATTATCTAATCCTTAAGATCATCTGGGATTTCACAGAAATGTTTTAAAAGTATGTTACTTGCTTCTTCACATTCAAATACACTTAAAAAATTTTAGTGGTACTGTCCTAGTATTCATATATTCAGTAGATATTCAAGATAATCACTGTCTTGGTCATCTTAACAGTGGTTTATTTCCTGGTGAATTGGGGCTGTCTTTGAATATTAAGGGTACCAAGTTGAGGGATAGTGAGTAATGGAATTATCTGTCAAATTGAACTCCTTCCCCTTTTTATAATACTCTGCTAAATTATTTCCAAAGTGTCAAAAATGTGAGAGATCTTGTGATATATTCTAGCATAACATCAATTCTTCCAATCAAAATCGATTTTTACTTTCTTCTGCTATTTAATTGGTAAGTTGAGAAATTTTTTAAAAAAGAAACCTTAGGGTCTTGACTCTCAGCCTACATATAGTTGTGATTCTGTGGAAGTATTTATTTAAGGAATACTGATAATGTCACAATAATTGAAGCTATATGCTTATTATTATTTTTAGGGAATCTCCGTGAGAGAATGTAGTGTGATCAATATGTATGCATCGTTACTTTTAGAAAAAAAGCTCAGTCTACAGATCATGCCTTTGACAGATTAAAAACATTAAAATTCTTCATAGATTATTTTCTTTTAAAAGGATGACATGTTAAAATTGACCCCTGTAATCTGAAGATGTTCCAACCCAGGTTACCTGTCCTTGTGTGCTAAAGTCTCAACATTACCCTTTCTGCTAATACCTTATGATTCCATAGAGCTTTATATATTTTGTAATGTCTGCACATGGCAGTACTTTCTTCTTATTTCCCTGGAGACAGCCTATTTAGGCAGCAGTGGCATAGTGAGAAGAGGGTGAGGGTACTATTCAGAAGACCTGGCTGAGTTTTCAGGCTCAGGTCTACCATTTAACCTGTGTTGTAAGCTTGTATAAATTGATTGATCTTACTGAGCCTCAATTTCCCCATCTATAGAGTTGAGGTAACAACCATATCAGCATAGTTATGAGAATTACATCATATAAAATAGATATTAACCTTGTAAAAGCACTGTAGAAGACCCAAGTACTATCTTTAGTAGAATGTATACAATGTTAAAGACAGTCCATACTGGGCTGAGTTGTGAACAAGGGCTCTATCATGGAGTATAAGATATAGTTTAAATTTAGTGTTGAATGAGTCATTTCCTAATGAAGTGTTGCATCTCTGTGTGGTTATGGGTATTTTATGAGACGCACCCTCTAGAGTATTTCTCAAAAGTTTGCCTGGTGGTCCCTCTCTATCAGAATAACCCACCTGCTTGTTAAATTATATATTTTGGGATCCTTTTTGACTCATCTACTGATTCAGAATTGTTGGATGTGTGGCTCAGTAAATCTACATTTTAAACAAATACCACAGGTTATTTTTATCTACAAAAAGTTTGAGAATCAGGTTATTTCATATTTTTCTTGATTTGTTATATTGGCAACACTAATATAAGGAGTAGAAGCAATTATCTAGAAATGCTACTATGTTGTAATTTAATGTTATTGAAGTATAATTTAATATTGCTGAAATGTGATTACTGATTTCTTATTTTTCTAATTATAAAACTGACCATAAGATTAATATGCAGTATAACATTGAGGTAATCTAATTTTTTACCCTTTTAGGTTTCATTTCAAAGTGATTCTAAACCAACCCAGAGGCAGTTTACTATTCTCACCTTTAATGATTTAATATCATCTGCTGTTCCTATGACCCCTGAAGATCCTTCATTTTGGGACTGTTTTTGCTTCACAGAAGAAATTTCAATACGAAATGGTACAAAGTCATGATATGATTTTCTAAGTAAAAAGGGAAATGAAAACTGTAATCTTCTGTATTCACTAAAAAATAAATGACTGAGAGTATCAAATTTTATTTCACAAAACAGTTTAGAAAAAGAAGAAACAACTTTTCCTATTAAAAAGGCAGACTCCCAGTTCAGGATAGCTCACTAGAATACATGTTTACCTCTTCTTCCTCCCCAAAATCGCTTTGGATTTACTGAAGAAATAGAAACTGGTGGGAGAATCTTAAAGTGATATATGTTCATTTTAGAAAACAACAGAAAATGTGAATTCACAAGAAGGGAACATTTGAATTCCTGTCTTTCAGAGATAACTATTTCAGAGGTAACTATCCCTAAAACCTGGAGTATCTTCCCAGACCTTTTTCTTGGTAAACGATTCCATATTAACATAGTTACTCTTTTTTTAAATGGGAACATACTATTTTTAATTTTTTTTTCTCTGAACTGTATATCTGCTGTTCATAAATATACTGCTGTAGCGTAACTTTTAGTGACTCTAAAGTATTGTGTTGTGCGGTTTCTATCAGGATGCTATTGACCAGAGGTAATAATGTTCAAATATAATCGACTTAAGTAACTAAGGACATTTATTGTCTCGCATAAACAGTTCAGAGGTGTCATTAAGGACACTTTTTTTTGCCTCAGCCTCAGCTTATTGGTTTTGCCTTAGGCTTGTCTCCCTCGTGGTTGTAAGAGCTGCTGCTGTAACTTCCAGCTTCACATCTTCATAAAAATTGTATCTAAAAGGCAGGAAAGGCTGTTTTTCCTCTCACATCTCAGTTTTGTCAGTGAGGAAGAATTTTTCCTCTTAAGAGCCCCCAGAAAATTTCCCCAAAGTTTCTGTTGACTCAGACCAGGTCACTGAGAAAGTTGAACTCTGACACTTTTGGGTTGGGTAAGGAAGAAGCTAAGGCAAAGTCTGGGGGAATGACATCTAGGGGAAGCCCAGTGTCTGCCATAATGGAGGTGTGCCACAATTTACTCATTCTTTCTTCTGTGTTAGACATTTTGAATGTCTGCAGTTTTTACTATAAGCAGTGATTTGTTGAATATCCTTGTAACTGCATTTTGAGGTACATGTTTAATTATGTCCTTAAGAAAGTAAATTTCTAGAAATGGAATGATTGGTTCAAAGGAATTAAATAAACATTTTTAGAGCCTCTATAAGTATTGCCAAATCGTTCTCTAAAAAGGCTGTACAACTTATACTTCTAGTTATTGTTATATGTGTGACCACTCTCTCACCCCCCACCTACATACTCTCTGGTCATCTGTAGATAGGATCTTTTTTAAAAAAATTAATCTATGCCAAAATAGGTGAAAAATGGTACCTTATTTTTAAAATTTGTGTTTCTTTCATTACAAATGAGGTTGGTATGTCAGTGTTGTTATTCACTGTTAGTATTCTTTTTTTATAAACTTCCTGTTCATTATCTTAGCCTGTTTCTATTTTGGTAAATAGGACTTAATTTAAAGTGGAAACATTATATATAAGATGCCAAGACCATCATATTAATGACAGAATCTATTCTGTGGTTGTAGTGCATGTCTTGGGGAGTTAAAGTCTTATAATTGTTGAATGTCAAGAAGTGAAATAGTTTCATTGGTTAAAAGTTGTGTGTAAATTGTATAAAATTAGATACTTTGCTTAAGTAAAAAAAAAAAAAATTTGGAATGTTTTATAATTTTTTATTTCATTAAGCATGCCCAGGTATTCCAAGCATAGTAAATAACATGTTTTAAAAAGATCAAATAGCATTTATAGTAGAGGAAGCATTGTTATCCCTAGCATGAGTGTAATGGTGATGTGAAAAATTGTCATCTTTCTTGTCATTATAATAATAAAATAATTAACATTATTGAATTTTTATGAGCCAGGTACCATGCTACATTTCTGGGGGGTTGGGGGTGGGAGTTCTGTTATTTCTTAAAGTTTCACATAGAGTCAAATGGATTCACATAGTTTAGAATCAAATAGATCTATAAAAAATTCTTTTTCTAAATGAAAAATACCACTCCCTTGACCTTCCTCTCCTATTTCCTGTCCCCAGAGCAAGCTGTTTCACTGGTTTTATTTTGTTCTTATTTATTACCATATCTTCAGGTAACATGCTTATATTGCTTTTACTTGTTTTCAGTTTGAGGTATTTCTTTAATTCCCCATATAAAGCTTTGTTCTGCTTCCCAACCATTGCACTTACCCTTCCTGCTCCCCTTTTCCCAGCATATGTAATTCAGTGTTTACATTGACTGTGATTGAGAATGTTTACATCATTAAGATTACTGTAACACTGTACAGCTAAGTGATGTGTTTTTCTTACCCTGTACTGCATTTTTATTTCCTTGACTTAATAATTTATCTTGTTTACATAGGTTTCTATATACTTATTGCTAATTAAATCCAAAACTCTATGTTCAGACATACCAGTTGTTTTATCAGTTTCATCCATCTTGAAGAAATTGCTCCTGGAGCAATAATCTGTTTTGTCCAGTCTGGACTTTTTACCTTCTGTGACTGGTGCACAGCTGTCATCTTGGAATCTCTTTTCACCATCATCCTAGGAATTGCTTGTGTCTCCCCTATATTGGATTCCCTGATTTCCCATTTCCTATATCTCATGTCTGTCTTAGATTTACTCCTTCATTTGTGTGGATCATATTCTCAAGTAGCTTCCTGAGAACAAAAGGGGCACAGGAGATACATTTTTTTGCAGAGTGGTATAGGAGATCTAACTATAGATGCATTCACCATATCAACACGACCCTTTGCTGCCGTCCACACTCGCACTATTCCTGAGCTCATTTTGGACAGTTTTATTTTCTTTGTACAGTAAACATAATTCAGCTCTGGCAGAAAAAATGGTTTCTGTTAATAGTTTCCTGCATAGGAACTCTGATGGATTGATTTTTAAAAATGGATCTATGTGTGTACGTATGCACATACACATATTCACATACCCCTTGCTATTCAAACTCAGGAATTGAATAGATTTGGATATATTTTTCAATTAAAGTATTCACCATCCTTACTACTAAGTATCTGAACCTCAGAAACTAATTAGATTTGGGTAACTAAATAGCCTCACTGGCTGAAGGACTGCCAACTGAACTTGAACAACTAAACAGATTTATACATACATGTATATACATACATCTTTGATCAAAAATATGCCTGAAAACAATTCCATCTCCTGGTACGAGATCATATTAAAAGGGATGTGAAGAGAGCTAATAATTATTTCATTTTATGGGGAAAATACGCCATCAGTGTTTGTGAATTTGGGATTGGCAGAAGTCTTTGGATGTATCTCCAATTAATATTTTTGTCTGAGAATGTTTGTAGTAGAATACCTGTCTTCCTTTGTAAGTGCTTCACATGTATCAAGCTCTTCAATCCTCATAACCTTATAGGGTAAGTCCTATTATCCTCAGTATACTGGTGGGAAAAATAAGGTACTGAGATGTTAAGCAACTTACTAAATAAAGATCATACCACCATTATACAGTGGACTCCATATTTGAACAAGATAGCCTAGATCCAGAGTCTGAACTGTGCTCTACTAAATTCAGTGATTTACTGTAAATGAATGTAAGCAATCCTGGGGCAGGGATGATTGGGCCTGGGAGCCTTTATTTGTAGTTTTTGCTGATTTCATGAAATAATGCCAGGTGTGTCACCAACAACTACTTTAACACTATTTTTCCATATTTGCCTCAAATTTTTTATCCCAAAGATACTGCTAAATAGCTCTCACCCCTGAAACCAAGCAGGACTCTGTGGGGCTCTTGGGCATGGAAACCTTTCTGTGTTCCCTGTTTCTTGTTTGTAGGGAATAGGCTTCAGTCTCCATGACCTATCCTGAGTTGCAAAGGGCAGATTCAAACAGCTGCTAATCAGGGAAGGGAGGGGATGCAGAGACAAGGGAGGAGCAGTCAAACAATAGTGCAGGGTCCTAGTTCTGCCTCAAGGGATACACATAACAATATCTTTGAGCTCTTCTGCAGAACTAAAACCCCCAACAAATGGAAGATATTAACTACTTGATGAAGCATTCTTTATTCCAGAGAGAAGGTCACAGTTGGATAACATCCAGAACCACAAGAAGCTCATCAGGAGAACACCTGAGGCCAGATTAAAGGAATGCAGGCCCTGCACGCACCCTGATCTTTATCAGCAACCTCATCCTTGAACCATTGTTGTAAAACTCCTCACCAAATCCTTCCAGGTTGGGACAGTTTTCAGGGCATTAGCCCACTGTGTCCCCCTTTGCCCGGCAAAGCAATAAAGTTCTTTTCTACTTCACACAAAACTCTGTCTCCAAGATTCAATTCAGCACCAGTGCACAGAGGCTAAGTTTCAGCATCGCCCCCAGTCCTATTCCTTTTTCCCTCTCCAGAGGTAACTTGTATCACTTGTAGTTTTATGCACTTAACTACTTGTGTATGCATCCATAGTCTGTGCATAGTGTTATGTACTTATATCCTGTATTTTCCTATTAGAATGGAAACATCAGGATTGGATGTCTTAAAAGTGACTACAGTGTAAGAATAATCAGCTCACTTAAGCAGAAATTTAAAGGACATTATACATACCCTTAGGGGTTAGCAGTCACCCTTAGGAGTTACAATAGGACACCTGGAGGCATTCATTTTAATCTAAATTTTCGGAAAGAATATGATGAAAGCAATACAGATAATAGTAAAATAGAATGCAAACTTGCCCAAGTTTTAAGACAAGATGCAGGGAACTGCAAAGGAATTTTCCTGCCTAGGAATATGCAGTCACTGTTAGAATCATTCTTCAGTGGAAGTTAGAAAGGAACGAACGTTAGGGGGATGAAAAGTGCAATTTGTTGAATACTTAATCAGAAGTAGAGCCTAATGCTTGGCATAGTGCACACCTTTGCAGGTCACCTCTGAGAAAGCACCCATGTGCTAGGTGTAAGGCCACTCTTCTACTGGCCTAGACCTTAAGCAGTAGGCTAGTGGAAGCCCAGAAGTTTGGTGGTCCTAACAGTACCATGTTATTTCTGTTGATACTTAGCACTCTTTCTGTGCTCTTCCTAGTACTGCCTTAGCAGGAAGCCTGCTAAACTGGCTCTCCCCCTTCTAAATCTACTCTACCCTTCACCCTGCTCAGTACCCTGGGAAGTTAACTTCTATGCACAATATTAACCAGAATCCCTTTTCCTTGGTTGAGTGTGGCAAATGGGAGAAACCATTAGGAGAAGACTGGGT